TCGTACCCAACGCCTGTGTTGAGGGCGAAAGGTTATGGCACGTGAGTAGCAGTTCCTCTCTAGTTACACATTTTCTTAACACGATCGCTAGAGCTTGACTCCTGTTGCCAAGTGATTTATCTTCGGCTGCGCAGTTTGCATCTGCAGCGCTATCGGTGATGGCATGATGTGTGAATCATACTTAGTGGTTTCTTTATATAACACTGCCTGCTGAAAAAATTATAATGTTTTTGGTTTTATTTTGGTTTAAGTTCAGGTCGAATAATGGATCGAAATTATTTACAAGATAAAACCCAAAGCATCGGCCTTGATTGAGCCTTCATCAAGGCATCATTTACGGGTCCTTTTTAATGAGCCTTCATCAAGTTGAAATTTGTAGATATGTAACAAGTTTTTTCTCACTTATATTACATATCACAGTATATTCTATTATTACACAACAAGTGTTTGGGTTGTAACATGTATGTTGGTTTGATTTATTATTCGACTTATCGCAAAATAAAACCTAATATTTAGTGTGTAAAGAAGTGAACAGGAATTAACTTACGAAAATTATTATTCCACTGATCAAACAGAACGTTGGTCGAGTAATCGTGTGGAGCACAGACATTTAAAACAGTGTTGATAAAATTAGAACAATATTAGGAGGAATATAGGAGGAGAGGAACCAGGAACTGGACCAGGAATTAAAACATGTATTGCCACACAACAGAAAAAATATCGAAGAGTGGACTAAACAAATTGATAATGAGCAGAGAAAATTTGTTAAAATACCAAACATTAAAGAAAGATAAATAAATACATTATATTGTAGAAAGAGGCTTTAATGGTAAATGAAGAAAGAAAGTACAGTAACGAACAAAGGAAGGATTTGGAAATGACTAGCTAAAGCGAGAGAAAGTAGTAAGTTAGTGGTATAATAACGTCGCAGTCAATGAACTCTAAAAGGACGAAAAATATGTATTCATTCTCCGCCAAATTAGGAAATAAATGTGTAAATTCAATTCATGTATAGCAATTTTATATAAACACAATGTTTAATTAATGTAAGTATTGTAAACTGCGAGAATCAGACATAAAATAAAGGGTTTAAATTTTAATTTTTCTTATCACTCTAGGGAAATTAGGACCACTTTTTTCTCATCTTGAGATTTCCAAATTGTACCATTCACGTAGTGGTTTACCAGTTGTTACATTTTAAGTTCCCAGAAAAAAACATGGTAAAAATTACAGTGCAAATATAGTATAATTGAAATTCGACCACGTTTGTTTAATGAATGCCTAACAAAAAAACAACATTTTTTTAAATTTCAATGCTGTAGGGTTGAGCTAATGAAATTTTTAATTTAATTTCATCAATTGAATACGTGACAGAGTCCGTGGTTCCTTATTCCTCTTTCTGATTTTCTATTTTAATGTTTACGGCTAATTTGGAATAGGCATCGGTTTAAAAATTCGAACAGTTATTTATGAATGTACTACATTAGAAGACACGGGCAGATATGGCAGCTATAAATAACGATTACATGAGTTATATACGCAATAATTGATGATATATTGGGTAATAATTGCTTTCTATATTCAATATATCACTCAAACGTATTTCGCACATTCAAGGATTATGTAGACAGGTTGTGGAGTCATGCAAAATCACGTATTTTGAAATTATTCTTTATCTGACATCGCGTTTAAATTACATTTTTAGTAGAACCTAATCTATTCAGTTTTAGGAATAACATTCATATCCACTTATTCTTTTTGTTCAAATTTGCTTACAAAATGTATCTTGTGCGTTCCCTTTTGGAGTGTTCTCAATTAAAATTCACTTTTCTAACCTCTAAGTAAACTAGAGTTAATTATTAAGTTTGAGTCTGAAACAAAAAGGTAAAGAGGTTAAAAAATACGTACATTCACATTGTCACTGAAATAATACAATCGTGTAATCAACGGAAATGTGAATATGTGTTCTAAGTTGTTATATTATTTTTTTATAATATTAATATCGTCGTTCTTTTAAAGCATAACTCATAATAGTATCTCTTTATTAATGAAGACATTAAAAACTGCATTTCCTAGAGCATGATGAAGGCGAAATTCCCACATAACAAAGATATAGTTAGCAGCCATAAATGCACTAGTTCGAAATACAATATTGAGAAATGATCATTAAAGATTATCGTAGTCTAGCATTTTTCATTAAAATAAGCATTAGTGTCGTCTTCTGAAATGTATGAAGACCAAGCAGTGAACACGTGAGAGATCACTTAGTATTCAATTTGTGTGAAATATATTAGAAATGCTCAACGTCAGATTGTGTCAACTATAGAGCGTTATGTGTATTATTTTATTTTGTGCATTTTAAAACTCTAAGTTGGTTCCCACAGGTTTGATCAATATAATCTCACAGGTTTAATCAGTACTGAACATCTCAGTGGTGTAGTTCTAGTACTCCCTTTCCAAGCATTTTTCAATAATATGTCCATAATAATACCAAAACTATTAGGTTTGAAGTTGCTCTTCCACGAGTAAAAAACGTTTTAAATAATCGTTTCATTTCGTATCTTCCTATTGTGAATTATTTTATATTCCAATCTTTTTAATTAACTGTTTGATTTTGAGTGTAAAATTAATTACTTGTCTTACAGCGCAAAAATGATAATAAACATTTAAGCATTGTATAGAATTCTCATCACTATTTTCAGTTTCATGCCGAAAAAATGCTAAAAGGGCCGGTCTGGATTGCCGATATTGCTAAGGTAGTAGTGCCGTAGTGATCTCGGGCCAAAGGATCGCGGGTTCGTATCCCGCCTCGGGTGTGGTTGTATTGTGTTCGTTCTTTTACCCCCTATCATCATCATATCGTGTCATCCTCACAGTTACCATACCGTTACGCGCAATAGTGGTCGCTAATGACCTAGATGTTGATGCGACCGTAAATAACAAAAAAAAACAATGCTAAAAGACTGATATTTGGTTATTTCCTGTTTGGTTTCCCAATATTTCGATTTTAAAAGTTTTCTTTTAAAGCAAGTAAACGAAAATGTTTCTATTTTCCACGAACATATCTCACTTTCGGAATCTTAACATCTGCATCATTTCCAACTCGTGCATTTCGTTATCTAAACATTGTCACTAAGAACTCCCACTTCGCCGTACTGGCTAGTTTCGCCTACGTCATTCATATGAAATAGTGCTTCCCGCTGAGGGGCATGGCAACGCGGTTTGGCTGGAGGCCAGCGGCGGCCGGGCGCCGAGAACACGGCGCCACACATCTAGAGCGCATTGACGCAAGCGCGACTTGTTCGGTGACGACCCCGGAGACGGCAGCTGCGGCGGCGCCGGGCCGGCAAAAAACTTGCCCCGGAGCAAAAAGATGCGAGGGAAGCGAACCTGCGACTGCCAATCTCCGTGAGAAGCGCTCCCCCCCCCCAACTCTCCCCTTCCATCACGCCAATCTGCATGCGTAGCAATGAGTCAGGCGCCGGGCGTTTTTGCTCGAGGGTCTGCGTCACCCGCGGCTGGCGACAAGTCGTTTTTCAGACCACGGCCAAACGACTTCTGTGGGGCCCATCAAAAGCCACTAGTTTACCTCCATTAGTTTCTCTTGAACACCGATTAAGTGCCAGAGGTGCTTATTTCAATTCTCCCCACAAGCAGAGTGTGTATCTCGCACTTGAACTTTTTAAGCAGAATATCGCGATGTGTCTTTTTTCAAAATGCTATTGTGGCCTTTGTAAATACAAATGCCAAGGCATGTAGCATTTTTTGCTTTTTTCTAATTAAATTATAGATTAAACATAAAACGTTTGAATGCATTGTCTTTTTAAAACTCTAAGACCGGCAGTAAGACGAATCCAATTGTCTACAGCCGATAAAATATCTTAGGGAAATAAAATTTAACGTCCGTTTATAACCTCCCATTCCTGAAATCAGGAAGTACAAAAAAGGATGTGAGAAAACTAAAATTGATAAAAAGAATAATCACAAATCTATATTAACATACGAGCATCCGTTTTCTTCCTGTTTTACAAATGTTGACTTTTCTATTATTTCCTATATTACTCAATTTAAATTTTTGCTATTAGTTCTAATATCCTGTGAGTACGAAATAACAACATAATATGTATTATTATTTAAGTGTATAAGCTTTACTAATTCATGAGTTTTCACTTCGAGAGGTCACTTTTGCATGAATGCAGAAATGTTGTGATTCAAAACTTGTACTTCAAAATTTGTACATTATGACTTTTTTCAACATACTCAGAAATGTCGTAGAATTGCTTACACATATTTATAACAAAAGTTGCAGTAGATGCAGAATTATAAAACTTTCTCTATACTACGTATATTACCCCTTAATTAATTGGATTGTTGGTGAAATAGATACCTTTTTATTATGATAAATAAATAAAGATTTTGACAGGTATCAATATTTTAATTTAGCTTATGATCATTTCGATCATTTAGCTCTGAGGATGATCGCTACGCGATCGATATGATCATAAGCTGAATTAAAATATTGATACCTCACAAAATCTTTATTTATTTATCATATTTATCGTATATTACTCCTTTTTACCTACGTGTACCAGAAAGTAAAATGCTAAAGGCAAAGTAGTATTCTGTTCAGGCAGCGAGAGGAAAGTGTTCCCCTTTGTATTGAATATTGACATTTTTATATTTTAACACAAGTAAATATTCTTCGGAAATACACGAGCTGGACTCAGACTTCTCATGAACTTCCTAAAGAAGACTACCCAAATTATTGGAACAGTCTGTATTCTAGCTGGTCTAGCTGAAATGAGCTATCCATTAGAAGGAAATAGGAGGTACAATAGGATGGTACTAATTCACACAAAATTAAAGTAAGAAATAAAATTTAATCCAAGACATTTTACAATCACATTTGTTAAGAAGTAATGCGTGTTGAATGAATAAATTAAAACAGAATAAATAAATAGAATAAATTAGACGGGCGCGAAGCTCGAAATGTCAGCGCTTCAGTGGGCGTTGAGGAACTTCTGGAAGCGGTCGTGGTGCTCGCCCTTGGGGTCGAACTTCTTCTTCACCTGCTCCCACTTGTCGGGGTGGTGTTGGATGAGGTGCTTGGAGAGCTTGCGGATCAGGTTCTTCTGAGCGTCACTGCACTTGCTGCAGTCGGTGGCCAGCGCGTCGGGCAGGTTCTCTGCGGGCAAGTACACACAGCGATCAGACCAGCAATCGGGTGTTTCGAATAGGTTGTCTTTCCGTGCCAGGTTTCTCAGAGAAACTAGTCGTAAATAAGTTGTGTTAAACTTTCAATTTTATTGTGACGTGGAATGAAAATTGTGAATTAAAAATTACAATATATTTTTATTGATATTTTAACACATCCGTGCCATCTATTCCCCATGTTTCTGAGAGAAACTAGTTGTAAATGCGTCGTGTTAAATGATCAATTTTATTGTGACGTGGAATGATAATTGTGGATTAAAAATCATAATATCTTTTTATTCATATTTTAACACATTATATTCACATTATTTGCTCATTAGAAATATATTTAAAGTGATAACTTTTTATTAACAATTTGCATTCTTTTATTTCTTATTATCCTTGTTATTAACATTAATCATTAGCTAGTGGTTAAAATAATACATAGTACTTTTGTGACTCTTTCATACGTGATGATTTGAAAAGTGTAAAACTAATTTCCGTAAGTTTTTCTGTATAATTGACACATTTAATTTCAAAATGAACGAATATTCTTACTTCTGACTCTACTTCGGAGCTATGTAGTAACTTTCATTCTATTTGTCAATACAGTAAGTTAGTATTCTGCGAAGAAACAAATCCTTAACTTTTTGCCGGTATGAATTTTTTTCAGTGTTCTTTTTTCGGGAATACTTTTAAAGCAATGCCAATAAAATTGAAAATAGATATGTTTACTTGCATGTCAATGAAAATTGTGCAATGAAACATTTCTTAAATGCAATATTGTGCACATCAGTGGCACAACTAATATTTTTCTTTGATGTTTTAGATATAGAGTACAATCGACTTGTTTTCGAACAAAGACTTTTTTATGCTGAATTAACATTTTTATTTTGTGATTTGTATATATTAATACCGTGTATTGGAGTTATATTCAGCAAATTGTTTATATTGTATTAAATTTATAAATTGAATGATGTTTGTTACTATAGAAAATTAGTAAAAACCGTGCTTGTGACGATGCAGAAACCAAATGAACCGTTCCTCTGGGGTGCGCTACTGAGCAAACTGCATTGGAAATCACTTTTAGTTTGTTAGATTGTTTCAATTGTATAATTTGAAAAAAGCGTCTGTTGAAATTTTTAGTACTTGTCCCCAGCCTGTGTAGTATACTCACTTCTGAACTCGCGACCCTCGGGCGTGCAGGGTCCCTGGTCCACCATGCACTTGAAGTAGGCTTCGAGGGTGCGCGGGTTGTTGAGGATGGCGTCCACGTCCAGGTTGTCGTACTTGGTGGAGTAGGTCTCTTTGGGGGCGGCAGCCGCCAGCGCCACCACCGCCGCCAGGAGAGCCAGGGCGAACACAGCCTTCATGGTGCAGCCGGAGAGAAGAGCTACTGCTGCTGAGGAAGATCGGAGCTCGTTGGAACTGTGCCTTCGTCGGTGCGCGAGCCCCCTGATATACCCAGAGTGGCGCTCGTGTCAAGGGTGCCGATGGCGAGAGGAGGGGCGCTGTGTACTCTCCTCGCTCCACTTGGGTCTCCTGCCCGGGGTCCACCTGCTGTTGTCGTGGAAGCACGGGCGCGCGATGGTGTTGTAAGACCATGAAGGCCCCTTGACCTAGAGCTAAGGTTACCGGCCGCCCGCCGGCTGGGCCGCACAGCGCGAAATGACACAGCGCGGCGAGGCGACGTTTGAAGTGTCCCCGGGTCACGCTTTGGACGTATTCCAAATGTGCGCAGACCCTGGCAAGTGTGCGGCATTGCATCCGCCGATTTGTTGGTTTCCTTACGCGCGCGTTGAGTCAGCCTCCAGCCGGGGTAACCATTCTGCCTGGAGGGACTCGCGATCTTGGCCTGCGCCCGGAGACTTCAATGAGCGAACAGGCGAGTAGTAGTTACTGCCCAATCGAATCTATAAAGCTACTGCCCAATCGAATCTATAAAGCTTCTCTTTTCATGCCATGGTATTTAAGTTCAAACTCCATAGTATTACGTATTTATCATTAAAAGTCACATACAAAATACTCGTTTGCATTGGGCCACTTTTCTACTTATATTTTAATCAGAGATCCAGACTACACTTCTGGTTTGATTTACATGACGAGTTGTGCAGTTGACTCACTTTCTCAATTGTACTAGTACGGATATTATTTTTTTTGTTTTATGAGCAATGAAAATAATGAGTATTAGAGTATAAATTAATTTTACGTTGAAACTGTAAGTTGTAATAAATATTTTGCAATTTAAAAATGAAGTGCTATTTTAAAATAAATTTTATGTACATAGTATTTGAAATAGTTACTTAACAGCTTGCGTTTACATTGTTCTCTTGAATGTAAAATAAACAAAATATAATAGGACAACTGAAATCAAATTGTGGTTCCCTTTTTTTAACATTAATTACTGTTGTTATATACAGAGTATCTGGGGAGAAAACGTCAAAAATTTGAAAAAAGGCTGTTAAGACAATTTTTAGAATATTTTGTTTAATAACTCCTAGGATATTCTGAATGGCTGATCTGCAATAAGCACTCAAACTTTTGATTGAAAAATACTTCCTATGCAAAAATGTGTATTGCTGAAACATATTAACACTCCAAAACATGTAAATTGTTTAATAGATACAAAATAAAATAACATATTTGTCAAAAAGAAAAAATACACAGAGGTAAAAAAGCGAGTGATTTTGTAAAAAAAATGACTGATTTTTAATTTCTTTTGTAAATAATAAAGAAACTCCAACTGAGAATGATATAGAAATAGAACAGAATAATTTGCAAAACTGCATTGAAAGGGCGGCAAAAGACGCAATAGGCAGAAAGAAGAAAATAAGAAGTAAAAAAAGGTCTGAAAATTTGGAATAGTGAGATAGAAAACCTAGTAAGAAACAAAAAAAAGCTTATCTTCAGCACCTATAACAAAATACTGAAGAGAGTAAAGAAAGGTACAGGGAAAAGCGCAACCTAGCAAAAAATTAGATTCGACAAGCTCAACAACAAGCATGGGATACATTTATAAGCCAAAAAGAAAGTTATGTACACGGAAGACAGAATTTTGCTTATAAAATTCTTAAACAACTTAACAAAGAAGAAGAAGATACAGCGAGAATAGATTTAATTAATAAGAAAGACTGGATTATGCCCTATAGAAATTTATGGAATAACTAAAATGAAGCACAACATGAAACATGTGAAGTGGTATGCAGTGAAGTCGATCCCATAACAATAATTGAGATCGAAGATGCTTTGAAAGAACTTAAAAATAGGAAAGCAACTGGAACAGACAACGCAGAATTATTAATATATAGCGGGATGATGCTCCACTGCTACTTAACAATGTGCTGTAGTGTGGCAGCAGACAAGAAAATCGTAGAGCAAATTTCCAATTTCAATTACTTAGGTTTAACACCTTCAATTACGCAAGTCGATCAAGATACTAATAAAGATATCAACATTAAATTGGCAAAATTTCAAAGGATTTGTGGTTCTATACATAACACCCTAAAAAACAAGACAAGACACAAGAATAAAGATTTATAAGACAATGGCTCTTCAAACTCTTCTATACGGAAGCGAAAGCTGGGTACCAACAAAAAAAATGTAATCAGAATCCAGGCCGCTGAAATGAAGGTTTTGAGGAGAACGCAAGGCTGCACGAAAGAAGATCATATTCGTAATGAGAAGATAAGAGAAAACTTAAATGCTGAAGGAATTGGAAGCAAAATAAATAAATATCGAAATCATTGGTATCAACACACGCAAAGGATGGATGACTCAATACTACTTATATTAGCTTTACTCTACCAACCGCTTGGAAGGAGAGACATGGGAAGACCCAAAAAACGATGGAAGGAAAACTTGTGAAGACAGAACAGGCTCAAGCCTAATCCATGAAGTGCAGAAGAAGAAGAATAAACAATTTACAGGTTTCTGGAATCTTTATATGTTTTATACTTCGCATTCATTTTATAGAAAGTATTTTTTCAATCCATCTTTTAGTGTTTATTGCAGCTCATCCATTCGGAATATTCAAGGAGCTTATTAGATAAAATATGCTTAAAATTGTTTTAAGAGCTGAGTTCCAAAGTTTCGACATTTTCTCCCCGAACACCTGTATTGTAACGCCGCGCGACCCCAACAATGTTCAGAGAATGTATTGTAGTACTCAAATCTATTTATTTGGCGCTGACATTTTGTTACCAGTACCTGTGAGAATTCGCTGCGATGATATTCAAAGATTCAAATAATATTTACGATTTGAACGACACAGAATATTGTAACTAAAAGGGTGTAGAATATGTGTTAAGTCATTTCTCAAACAAGGCAATATCACAAAAACTCGAATCCAAGTCTTCGTCGTATCCAAAGCGCTCTCTAATTACGAGTTATCAATGAGGTTTTCATGAAATATTTTACATCAAAGCTGATAGGTATTAAAAATGTTTGTGAGATTAATTTACATATTACTAAAGTTATTACAACTTAATCAAATAAAATTAATCATTGTTATTGAAATCACACGTGCACTTTGATACCGCATACACTCGCTCATCAGAAAGTTCTTAGTTTGAAAGAAATTATAATTTCATTTTAATAATTCCCACGAATGTAGTTGCAAAACATATGTATTATTAGATTGTTTCTGGAGATGTTGGGTGCTTACATTATTTCCAGGGCCTTCAGAGAATTCAGTGTATTGTGTGTTTTTCCTCTTTCTTCTATTTATCGTGAAATCCATAGAAAATTTAAACAAGTTCTCCTTTTTGACGTGAAATGAAGATTATATATATATAGTATATTATAATATTATATATATAATATATATAATAATATATATATATATATAAGTAAATATATATATATATATATACAATATATATGATATACATATAAAGTGCGTGTTTTAAACAAATTACAGGGAAGTATAGAGACATTAATCGTCATTTCTCTTTCGAACATTACTGCTACAAAACCCAAAACCGAAAAACAAACAATTGTTGCTAAACAATTTGAAGATTTTTCAGAACTTTAATATTTAGAAATCTATTACCTGATAAAATGCGTTTTCTGGATTTGGATGAAATGATTGTGTTTACATTAAAATGTATAAAAAACGTTATTTACTCGTAAGTAGAAAATGAAAAAAAATATTATACAGAAAAACCATATTTATCACTCTGAGAAGAAGAATATAAAGAAGACGTGGGGAAGGACTACAACGAACTTCTTAACCTGTGAGAATATTCATACATGATTTCTATTTTCTGATATCACCTTCTCGTCCTTGAAGCCCGTAAATATCACTTCACGGTTGAGTGCCCGGAAGTCAGGCTAGAGCTGCGTAACGCAATTCCCACTCAGTCGGTCACTCGCCGAAGGAAGGCGAGCGCGTTCGCCAAGGTCGCGGCCGCGTGATGAAAGCAACAGTAATCACTTCCACTTTTTCGCTCCAATTATCCCGCACGCGGGAAACCAGTCTGCCACCGCGTCTCTCCTGCGCCGCGAGGCGGTTCCCACTGGATCACGGGATGTTCATCCAAACAGAAGCACTCTCTTTTAATGTTTATGATCATTAGTAGTTTTCTGTTTGAAACATACTGTAGAACTTCATATTTCGTGTTGAAATGCGTTGTTTTATCTATAACTTCTTTGTAATATTTTAGCATTGTAGTGCAATGATTCTGGACAATAAAAGTGAGAATAACACTTATTGAAAACGTAACAATGCTAGGAAAATAAAATAACAAAAAATCGTAATTGAGAACGTAATCAAGCAACGTTCAAGCAAATTTTGTGTCTCAAATCATATTTTATCTCTATTCGGAAAGAAAAAATATTTCATAATATGCGTCGAGGACAAAACTTACTAGATGAATATCAGGTTAGTTCATTATTCATTTACTATGTTATTTACACGAGTTTACTATTTGTTTATTTTGTTACTCTGTTACAAGATATGACTACACTTTTAGAAACTAGAGATTTGTAAAGATTTTAGAAAACAGAAACAAACGGAGTAAAACCTTTTTCAACTCCGTATTTTTAATTTAATTGTGATATTTTACCATCTTAGATTCGTTGATCGCTTTAATGCGATGACATTCATTACGGCTAAATAATTCTAACACGGCTAAATAATTCTTGGAGCAAAAGCATCCAATTTAAAATAGTTTAAGCACTAGTGAGAAAACGGCAAAAATCCATGTAGAATTCATTCGACTATCAATGAGTCACCACCTTGTCTGCTTTTCCTCTCTTGTAGATGTTGACTGAATGACGAACATTCAACATCTAATTGGAAAATATAGAATGTGGGACTTCCCTTTAGCACTTTGCTGATAATGCGCAAATAGAGGCTTTCCGCACATCCTTG